CTAGGATCAGGATGTAGTTTCAGGTTTACTATGGTTTAACATTCTCTGGGTTGGTAGTTATGTCGTAAACCCGTCCATCTCGCTCTCTTTCCCTCTCAGTTGATCTCGACCGTCTCTATGACGACGTGAAGCAGTACAGCTGCACTCCGCGCAACTTCTCGGTGAATCTCCGCGAGGAGCTGAGGGAGACCAATGCCGTGTTTTTCCCACGATGCCTCCTGGTGCAGCGCTGCGGGGGAAACTGCGCCTGCGGCACCGACAACTGGAACTCCTGCAGCTGCAGCGCCGGAAAAACCGTCAAGAAACTACACGAGGTATCCCACAATGCACTTTGATAAATGACTGTTTCCAAACAGGTTTCCAAACACTCCATCTGTCTGCCATTGGTTGGTCAGACAGATGTCCCGCCCCCAAACTCACTCCATTGGATGAGTCCAGTGGTTGATGAAATACACAGATCAAGTACTTAGGAATTGGGGATTTTATAAAAAAAATTTTTTTAGTAAAGTTTTAGTAATTTTGTTGTGTGTTTTTGCCACTTATAATTATAATATTATTGAATATTATATAAATACACTACCGGTGAAAAGTTTGGGATGAGAACGATTTTTAGTGTTTTTACAGGAGTTTCTTATGCTCACCAAGGCTGCATTTATTTGATCAAAAATACAGGAAAAAATTTAATATTGTGAAATATTATTATAATGTAAAATAACGTTTTTCTTTTTTAATATACATTAAAATTAGAGATGCACCGATCGATCGGCCAGGGATCGGAATCGGCCGATTTTCCTCCTGATCGGCCCGGATCGGTGATCGGCCAGTCTCACTTCTTTCCGATTCCGAGCCGATCCGTTTTGTTACCAGCGGCACAGGCAATAACATCAGCCGCGCATTCTCACTCTCATCTCTCCGACGACCCCTTCTCTCTCACACACGTCTCATTCGTCTCATAGTTAAATAGTGCTTGTATTGCGCATTATTTTAGTCATTCCCGCAGGTTTCACGCTTATACCAAAAGCGCGCGCACCAGAACTGATCAATATTAGTGGAGCGCACAAACCGCGCTCAGTCTCAAACAGCTTGTGAGCCACAAATACCAAAATGAGTGGCTAACTGCGCTAAAACATTCAAATACATACAAAATTATGTCAAAATGCCCGTCTTGG